AGTCCGCCAATCCCTCGGGGACCGTCACTGTGACTATCACCGTCAATAGACAGGTTGTGCAAGAGCCACAGCGCCACGGTGTGGCTATTTTTTGTCGTGCAGCTGTGGCTCCAATGCGCCACTCCCAATGAGTAGCCATTGTAAAATTGGGAGGTGGCGCATTGGAGCCACAGCTGCACAACAAAAAATAGCCACACCGTGGCGCTGTGGCTCTTGTCTAATGCTTCTTTCTTCGTTCCACGATGTTCGGTTCCAACTAAGAACGCCCTTGAAGCGCCTTCATATCTATAACTCTAGCGATTTGCCTTCAGAAAAACTTCCAAATATTCTCTCCCGATTTCAGATATTATATTTTTGGGTGCCGGCTGAAACTTCTAGCGGCAGGGCATGATGTAGCGGAAGCTTCTGGCCGAATCGATTCTTTCACGGTCAGTTTCCAGCTCTTTCACGCATTCTTCCACCAGCTCTAGCAACTATGTCGCTCCCCACAAGAATGAGAGGCCTTCAAATCGTCGAATTCAAGAAACCCTATGTACTATCGCACGACATTCCAGTGCCTCAAATCACGCGCGATAACGAAGTTCTCATCAAAGTTGCCGTTGCAGGATATTGTCACACCGAGATGATGGTCCAAAACGGCGAGTTTGAGAAGATGATGCCTCCTCAGAACACACTTCCTCTTATTCCTTCGCACGAATGCACCGGCGTCGTCGTTGCTGTCGGATCTAAAGTGGCCAATATCAAGGTCGGTGATAGAGTGGCAACCCCGCCGTTGAAGAATCCCTGTGGAACCTGCTCTGATTGCAAGAAAGGTCTATCCAAATTTTGCCAGAACGCTGATCATGCTGGTGTTATTGCGAATGGTGCAGCTGCCGAATATATGGTATCTGATAGTAATTGGACTGTCGTTCTTCCCAAGCAAATTAGCTTTGAAGCTGCAGCTCCTCTGATGTGTGCCGGTAAGCTTTTTCCTGTCCTAACACGGAGATTTTTTATTCAATAGCGGCAGGTGCAACCATTTACTCTGGTCTGAAGACCGCTGACCTGAAACCTGGCCAAACGGTAGCGATCATTGGTGCAGGGGTCCGTTCTAGTTTCTCTTTCATATCTGTTCCATCAATCTTATCATTATATAGGCCCTCGGGCATCTTGGTATTCAATTTGCTAAATGTATGGGACTTCGCGTTGTTTGCGTGGACTCCCGTCAAGCACCTCTAGATCTCGTCAAGGGACTCAAGTATGCTCCAGTACGTTCGCACATTCAATTACTAGAACTTTACTTTAACGACTCCCTCGGTGATTAGGATTTTTCTATCGATGCTACGAAAGGCGTAGAATACGCATTGAAGGAAATTGGTGGTGAAGGAGCGGACGCAACATTAATGGCGACAGATGCAATCCCAGCTTATGAATACGGGCTTCAATTAACCAGAAAGCATGGGATTTTTGTCGTAATTGGACAGTAAGTTAGATCATTAATTTCATCGCATTCTGTTTACAATCATCACATAGGCCATTCGAACCCATAGTACGTCTTCATTCATTCATATAACCTCTGTTACTCACGATATTCTTCAAGCCAATCCACTATACCCATCTGATCTTCCGTAACATCACAATTAAAGGTTCTTTGCTGAGCGATGCAGAAGGGATTAGAGAAATGGTCCAGTTGGTAGCCGATAAGGGTATCTTTCGCGACCTCCCCGAAGTAAACTCCTAATAACATTTTATTCAGGAATCGAAGTTAGGACGCGCTCATATCCTTTAGAGGAAATCGAAACTTTAATCAAGGACTACCACAAGGAGACGCACTGCGGCAAATTGGTCTTGCGCGTATCAGATGGTGAATAAACATGGACCACACATACTTACTCATGAAATATATCTTTATTTGAGCTCATAAATTAATGCGGATTTGCTTTGATAAGCATCGCATTTTTATATGGACTTCCGAGTTCGCTCCCTGCAGTTAAATTTACTATTATGTGAAGTGTTGCAGTGAATGTTAGTTTATTCGAAAAAAGGGCCCAACTGGGAATTGTACCCAGGACCTCTTCCATATATACAGATCGTAACAACCCAAAGGAAGAATCATGCCACTAGACCATTAGGCCGGCGCTTTTATGGGATTGTCATGCTAGTACTGCCGCTTCTACCTCCAGTCCTAGGCGCTATCGTCTGGGGTTCTGCTTAGTTAATGTTTAGCATCTGCTTCCGTGTATCGTGGGAGCTTTGCTCTGACTGCACACCTTCATCTCCTCGAATCCAAAAGCACACCTCAGGTCTGCCATTTGTCTAGATACGTATTGTCATCCGTCCCCATTCTTCTTCAGAAATAAATCAATTGCTAATGTCTGGTTTAATCAGTCAGAGGTAAGAGATCGTATATCGCTCCAAATTTCTCGTATCCTAAAATTCTTACCTTTCTTTCCTTTTTTGTAAAGTGACTCCGCATTGCTTATTGTATTTCGGTGTAAGATTGAGTGAGTTTTGTGGGGTTTTATAGTGTTTCTCGCTGTATGAGTCATTCTGTACCAATATGGAAATTTCTTCTTAAGTTAATTTGACGAATGCGGAAAATTCCTATAAGTGGCTTTATCCTGTTTTGTAAATCACTTTTGAAGGAAGATACCACAAAAAAGGGAATGCGTTCTGCCACCACTTGGTGTTAGTTTCTTTGTATGGTATGTTTCTATACTGGATATCTGCCTTTCTTGGATGGTCGTGGAAGGCCAGACAAATTTCTTCTTAAGCTGTTTGATGAATGCAGAAAATTCCCATAAGTGGCTTTATCCTGTTTTGTAAATACCTTTGAAGGAAGATGCTACAAAAAAGGAATGTGTTCTGATGCAACTTGAAGGGTAAGGAGCGGATTTGGTATTCATTTCCATATATGGCATGTTTCTATATCAGATGTTTGCCTTTCTTAGAAGGTCATAGTGGAATACATTGCAGCTTAATCATATATGGCTGGAGAGCAAGCTGCCATTTTACACATGCCTTATACCTAAATACTTGAATAAGTAACTTCACAAGCAGGACATTTCTGCACAATACAACAACTTCTGGAGCCCTTTCCAAGAGAGGATAAGCTCCCTTTCCAGGAACTAACATTTATGACACGGAAACAAGAAACACTCTGTAAAGAAAAAGGCTGCCGAAGACCAGATTGGAAGATTATCCATAAGCGAACCTTCCTTTTTCATGCCTTTGCCTTCTTTCTAAAAAATGTTGACATTGTGAGAGGAAGGCCTTCCCGGTTTGGCAGGTCTCCAATAACAACAAGGCATCTCCATGCCATATAACTAATTCGGAAAGCCCTTCAAAAAGAAGACAAACTTCCTATCCAGCAACTGACAGTTGCAATGCAGAAACAGGAAACATCTCATAAAGTAATAGCCCATAACCAGATTTGAAGATTCCCCCTCAAAGGAACTTTCCTTTTTCATGTCTTCTTCTCCTTTTTAAAAGGGATGAAGCGCAATAGGAAGGTCTTCCCAGTTCGGCAAGTATCCAATAACAGATACCTTCCGTTCATGGGGCACGACCTTCGCCATACCTTCATCTAACTCTAAATCAAGCAAAGCAATCTTGATGCCCTACAATTTGCTTCATCAATCAAACACCCTGCAACACTCCATACCCAAAATATACACATCAATATTGTATTCCGAATAAAATCAAAAAGACATGGTTTTAAAGAGTATTTACTCAATAGAAATATTCCCAGAGCGAAGCGAAGGACCCAACTTGTTATTTGTATAATCTGATTACTAATCGATCTCTTATCCAAGAAGTTCAGTTTCAACCTGCTACATTAATCTCCTACCAATCGAACTAATTAGTTTAGTGTTCGAATATACCGCGACAGATTCAGACCACGTGGAGTATTCACTGGCATTAGGACCCCGTCAATTTCATAATCCCTTGATGGCACTTGAGCAGTCTCATGTGTCTTCATTGGTGTTCGATTGCAAAAGGCAACTCATCGCTTTGGAAGGAAATCAGCCCCGCACATCTCGAATTTGCACGGTTCTGTTCGGAGCTCGCCTCGGCGGACCTGGAGGTGATACTCCATCTTTACATGCTTCCAACGAACATGGTACAGAATGTAATAAAACCTACTTGTCACTTTATCCATCAAAAGGTTCACCGTATCTCGATACTGGTTGTATTCGGCACCCATCCTTCAATGGAAATATTCCTCACAACACTTTTTCCCGTATTAAGAACAAGTATCTTATCCTTCAACCTGCATCGAACAGTGCCAATACCGCTTATGGACAACCTACCTACTCCCGCATTATTTAGAGGTGATACGCCAATGTTGCGGTATGTAGTATGGACTAGCAACCGTCTCCCCTCATTGTTCAGACATCTTGGAATCACCTAACTACATTGGAACTGAATTTCAGACGACCAAATCTTGACATCCTTAATTGGTCACATTTTATGTCTCTCTTATGGCACAATCCCAACCTGGCGACTCTAACCATGCCAATACCCAGGGTTGAAGGATGTTTGAATCCGACCCCTCTCCCTCTTTTGCCTCTCCAAAAGGCGATATTTCATGCACACGCTATGCAAGACTTAAAGACATTCATCCAAGCGATATTGATTCCTGGAATTCAGCACATTGTCGTTCTGTCACGCTTATGACTTCATTCTATGATGTCTTTTCTACCCTGGGAAGCCAGCCCAGCTTACGTTCCCTCCTAGATGGGACCGAAGGTTGTGAGCTTCGGCCTAAATCTCCTGTTCATCTACGATGTTGGAATACGAACAACCAAAGGTCATTCGAGGTCAATTTCATACTACTGGATTCCGAAGAAGGTACGTCAGACCTTGCCAAACTGCTGTCTGCTGTAAAGCAGCTCCACTTGGTTTGGATCCCGCTTCAGTTTAAAATCCCACCATTACCATCAGCTACGGTCCTCCGGCTTAATGTCTCTGAATTTGATTTAGATGAAGCATAGAGGGTAGATGCAAATATCCTTCCATCCGTTTCCACCTTCATTCTCGAAGGTAGGTGGTAGTCGCCGAAATCGGAGTCTTGCGTCTTGCGAAAACACTGGAGCAGTTGTTGGTCAATTCATGGAATCAGGAAAGGGTCATATCATCCAGTTTTAGTCTCACGGAGAACAAACAGGGAATGCCTGAAGACGTTTGTAGTAGACGTGGTGTTCTCTAACAATATGATGGATTAGAACAATGATCTCCTTGGGTGGAATGGGAGCAGCAACATATTTTAGAAAGCCAGTGTGGAGCAAAAGAAGCTGATGCTACGTTTGCTGCCAATGTATAACCAGACCCATTTCAAGAGCATACTTCTGATGTTTTCACCGAGTTCTTTCGCACGCAACGGCCTTGCCGGGAGCTTTAATATGCCTTAGGTGTTATGGTGACGAGTTATGACTTCAGGTGTCATTTCCCCTGGACGAACAGCGATTGCTATACATGCCTGCATCTATCATTGACCGTCTAAATTACCTAAATTACCCCATGGGTTCTACGCCTTGTTGATACAGGATCCGCCAAGCCTATCATTATTCCCCGGGGGTTCCTCCACCAGTCGTCCTACGCAGCGAGATCTGGAAATCATGCGCTCTGCATATTCAAGCTAACAGGAGTTGACAGCACGCAGATCGTATATTACAACTCAGACATATTCCATTTACAGTAATGACCTTTAAAGCCACCTCAAATATTGCTATAGGTTGTAAGTAATATCGTATCCTTTTCTATCAACACAATTATGAAATGTGCTTAAAGAACTGGCCGGATAACATACTCATGAACGCCTATTCCCTGGTGCCCTGTCAGTGATGATCAACGGATCCACTAACTGAGCCTGCTAAAAGCTGTTACCTTTGCAGGGTTGGCCGTAATGTGTCATTATCAGCTGACTTTGAGATTCGGTATGTAGATGTAATTACGGAGTTGCAAGAGCCTCATTGCAACTAGCTAGATGAATGCCGGTTTGTGTCTATGACGTTTTTTTTTTAACAACGATCGACGAATATCAGGAGCACGCTAGAATTTTATATCGAAAAAATGCCAATACATACGTACCCTTGGCATTCTTTCGATATTACTCGTAGTTACTTAGCAGGACCAATTAATCCAGGGCGATGCTGTTCAACAGCGTTTCGAAACTGAAGGGTCACCCTTTATAAACTCGTTTTGTCACTTTACCTATAGTGACGATGGTTACTTTCAGACAAGCTGCATTTCTCCTCACGCTGTCTCTTCTGGCACGTTCAGTATGTGTTCCTTTTTTATTTCTTCGCACAGAGATGTTGACATGGCTATCGCAGGATGTCCGACCTGATCAGCCTGCAGAGCGCACTAACACCACGGCTAACTGGGTATGCACCTAAGTTCCTCTCTTAAGCTGCATTTTTCATTAGCAAAACTTTCTAGACTTTCAACCAAAAAGGTGTTTCGGCATGCGATCGTGAGTCTACTTCTGATGTTCCAAAGCAAAGACCGTTCATCGTTACTCAGTCGCCGCCTCTATCGACCACCTTTGCTTTCCTAACGAGAGTACATGAATGTAACTTTACACCAACTGCTCCAGTTCTAACGAACCTATTTTTAGCCGCTTATCCATTTCTTCTTAATTTATCCGATCCAAGTAGTAATAGTTATGGAGGTCCGAGCACATCATTCAGTAATAAGTGTGATTGTAGCACCGTCCAGTATGCGTTACTTTCAGCTTGTGCTTTTTGCCAGAACGGAATGATCAATCTGTGAGTATTCCTAATTCCTAGACATACGCTGGAAACGTCTATCTGACAAGGCATGAAATCATACAGATGGGGAGAATGGAGTTCGGATTGCGCCCCGGCCGACATATCAATTACGAGGTCCGTTCATCTCTGTGAAAGATCATTGATATGCTTCAACTTTTTTTCAGGTTTCCTTTGATTTAATGGCACTGAAATTCCTATATGGGCGTTTGTGAATGTAACAGTGCATTTGCTGGAGTTGAGTTCGGAAGCTGAAGCTCCACTTATACCTTTTGCACTGGCAGGAGGATAACCAATGGCTGCCCAGCAAGGGAAAGTTTCTCGCAGGTCAGATTCTTTTATTATATCATATCGTACGGATT